GGTTCGCTACGCATGACTGATGCGTTACTACGTCATCAGTTTGCTATTTTTTGAATTTTACGAAATGGAATGGTTTTGTTGGTTGTAACTGAAAAGATATACTGAGGCATTAGGATAAAGTAGGGAGGGGGTCGTGGAGTAATCTCTGCGTCAGTACCATAAGTTATCAAAGTGGAGTAGGGGCAGAGTAATCCTGCTGTTCTGTGATTGCATTTATTGGATAGTAATTAAAGGTTTATACCAGAATTATAGCACAAAAATAAGAATTCAGATACTCCCAGGTAGGGATGAACGAGTCCTCCCAGGTAGAAAGCCGAGTCTGGATGATTTAAATTCCTAGAACTCGGTTTCTGTCTCTTCGGCATCGTGTGTCAATTTTTGTATTTTGGATTTATAATTTATTAATCAGGGACGAGCGTTATTCCCTCGCGACGAAATCCGTCTCGTGTGATTACACTTGTGTTTCCTCGCAAAGAGCACGCAAAATCATTTACGGCAGACGTCAAACACCGTAATCTCAGCTTGAATATTCAGAACGCGAAAAAGGCGTTATTGCACCATTTTATTATTGGTGCCGACTGCCATCTTACAGGCGATTTTCCGATTGCAACAATCTTAATTCGTTGGAATAGTGAAACATTCTTTATTTCAAATTAAATGACTTTTCGAGTTTTCCCGAAAAATGATGAGTACCCGACGTTAGATGATAAAACAAAATATTTGCGGTTAATTTAATCAAATTTTACTTTTCACTACACCCGGTATCTGGGATTTCGAGTCGCTGATTAATCCGTTCCTATCGCCCAAGCGCGTCACACGCCTGGTCGAGTGTCGGGCGGTATTTTAGTCGACGATAAATTAAAATAGTTGCCACACGTGTTATGTATAAGGATGTTGATTGAAAATTAAAATTTGGTAACATGTTATTTTTTGAGTTTTGCTCGCAGAAGCAATCGATTTTTGTCAAAGGCACAGGACATTCAAACAATATATAACGATCTCATATCAGTCCGATAACCTACATCCAGGGTCGGCAACCTGCGGGCCGGATCCGGCCCGCGACGCTTCACTAAATTATAGTAACAAAACATCTGTTTTGACGAATATATACTTTAGACCAGTGGTCACCAAAGTGTGGGTCGCGACCCCAAGTGAGGTCGTCTTGAATATTTCTGGGGTCGCCGGCGTTGTCTTCTTCTTTCTATTTCGCGTGTGATATCTTGGGTATTATCAAATCACCAGTAGACAGAGATATTACAGTTTACTATAAGCAAAGAAAGACGTCGGTATAACACCGCTTCGCGCTATACATTTCAAATTGAATAAATAGCAAGCACGTAAAGCACGTAACAAGTAAAAGCAATGCGCAATTACGAGAAAACAATTACGACATCATAATCACAAATCTAGTCCACTTTGAAAAACGACGAGCTATGACGCAAGTACACAACAGTGTGTAGTCTACATTGCACTAGCGATATTTTGAATTAGAGTGATATTTTTAATAATAGGGCTATTATGTAACGACAATAATTTAAATTTTAAAGTACACCATTGTTGTGTTTTCACTGTTATGCACTATGACCGTTGCAACAATAGTCCACGATTTCAAAAGCTCGGCGAGAGAAGCAATCGCATTCTTCATACTTATTAAATATGTGATTAGTTTACATGTATACCTTGGGGTCGCGAGTGCTTATCATATCTAATAATTTTTGAAACGGGGTCGCGTCTTAAAAAGTTTGAAGACCACTGCTTTAGACTAAACTATATTATAACCTAACAATTATATATTTCACAATTACTCGTTTAATGAGCATATAATATAATAATAATTAAGCAAATGGCAACAAAACGCAGAAAAGTTCATGCTAAGTGCAAAGGGTTCAATGGCGCTGAAAATATTCAAATGGCATTTTATGAGATGCAATGAGGAAATAAATCTATATTCTATTCGAGAGATGCATCACTGCTTGATTTTTATTATAAAAAGTACCATCCGTTCGGCTTTTCAATATTCTAAAAATATGTGCGGCCCGTCAATGACTTGCAACCTTAATTTTGGCTCGCGAGCGACAAAAGGTTGCCGACCCCTGAATCCTACATCCTCATTAAACATCGGTTACAGCCATATAGCTGAGGACTACACGCGCCACAATATCGCGATATTGTGGCGCGTGATGACGCATCACTCAAGCGTAACGAGAGAACTGTGTAACATAAATAAACAAATACGAAAAAAACGCGAGCGAACTATATTAAGTTAACTACCGTATGTTTAAATTGTATAATGATTTTTTTTTCACTTGAGAGGATTTCAAACCATGCAATTGTATTCCGATATCAATTAGTGTAACCAAAATTGAAAATGACATATAAACAAGAAAGCTATGCTCAAATATATGGACACGTAGAGTCACATAATTTTGATGACGTCATAGCGAAAAAAAAGTAATAGCCTTCTGGAGAAAATTTTTATCTTCAACCACTGAAAATTTCAAAGCAATTGGTCCAGTATTCGAAGAGAAAAGCGACTTTTTAAAAACGTGTCAAAGAACAAGAACAACAACAACAACAACATAATATTGAAACGATCGTTATGCACACTACGTGTCCAATAATACACTTTCATGTGGGCAAAAATTATATAAATAGCCTAATTGTATTCCCTATGGACCTTTCCCCGAGCATCGTTTTCCTTGTTTACTTCGTGACATTGGCCAATCAGCAAGATGCAAAAAGTGACGTAACAATGCCCCCTTTCGGCATCCGCTCAGACACTTTTCTCACTCAGACAGATTTTCAAGTATGGTTGTAAACATTACCTCGTTTTCGCGTTTTTGAACTCAATTCGTTAGTTTTCAGTTGTGTTTCGGGAACTTAAATATAAATCAGATAATTCAATGATCACTCTGTCTTCCTAGGAGTTTTAATTTGATTGTAGTAATAAAAATTAGTGTAGAAATAGCTGTGATAGACTAGCCTGAAATTCTTTATCGGTACTTTTAAAAAAAAGATTGTTGCATGCGATGAATCATAATGATGGTTTATAACACATTCCGCATTTTACAGGCGCCAACTCGCAAAAGCACTCTTAAAATAGCCCCGAAAATTTTGCAATGGTAAAGTATGGGAAGAATTATCCGGGGGTCAAAGGTCGGGGAAAGGTCCATTGGCACTGAATTTCTGTTTGGCAAAAAAGGACCTCCAGAAGTATGCGCACGAAGATGGCGCACAACCTGAACATAGTATGTGTGTATCGGTTAGGGTTCAGGCTGTGCAACATCTTGGTGCGCATACTTCTGGAGCCCCCCCAAAAAATTAAGCTACTTTCCCACGATTATAAGTATCGGTACCCGTATGGGTCTATTTCGACTGCCTAATCAGCATAACAAGCGATAAAATGATTGATTAAAACAAATGTATAAAAACATGGACTGGGAAAAATATATTATAGTCACTTTGGGACAAACCAAACCCTTTCTTAGTGAATGCCTGTTTACCGTATGGGACTAAAATTTTCTTTTCAATTCTGCAGTTTGGTGGCGGAATTTAGAATAACAGCCGTAAACAGATGAATGAAAAATATCTGGAATTTAAATTGAGAAAACGAAAAAAAAACATGGAAACAAAAAACTATGTACCGGTACCGTATTTAAAATAAAATGATGCGATTCCAAAATATTAATACAAAAATTCCGTTTGGCACTGGAATTTATTTGGCAAAAAAAAGGTAGCTAATTTTATTTCCTGATTTGTTTGTTCGGGTTTTCCTGGCGATTGAGATTTTAGACTTTTGACGAAATTCGGCTGTGTGGTTCAAAATATGTTATGTAGCTTCAGTCCAGTTAGTTGCTCGTAGTAGTGGTTCTACGGTACGGTAAATGACAGACAGTCGAGACAGAGGTGAAGGAACTGCAGAACTGATCGATTATCAAACCAAGACTGGGTGAGCGGATGTTGTATGACAGTATGACGGACTTTATTTAGCCTAGACTATGCCTTACAATGCCTGAATGGCATTGTCATCGTTATCATGAACCGCAGGGGTCTTGCGTAGTTTCGTACCTAACCTACTTCTAGAAGGCGTAGCATAACAATTTTTTGACATGCCAATTCTAACCCTCACCTGACTATTACAGTATTACGTCACTACGGCGTCACAATCACGTCATCGAGCTTGCTAAATACTCGTACGATCGCCCGAAATGGCAACGGCGCCGACGATAAAGAACTGACTAACGTCAGCGATCTCTCTCCTATCGGGATCGTTGCGACGAGAGAAATGACTGTTCGATTTCGGGTTCTCGTCTGGGATGATAGTTCGCATAGTTTGAAGTGCTCTATTACGTCACTGTGATGTCGTAGTGACGTCATTTTCGGATGGTGTGGTCAGGTGGGGGTTAGGATTGACACGTGAAAAAATTGTTATGCTACGCCTACTACTTACTAGAAGTACGTTAGGTACGAAACTACATGAGACCCGAACCGCAGTACCGTAAATTCCGATGAAATTTTTCATTGCGTACCGGTATATTGAATAAATTGTTTCCTATTTTGCTTTCGTCAATAACCATTTTCTGATTGTACAGTTGTAGTAAGTCGAGATAGGCTATATACGAATCTGCCGTCATATTCAGTTCATTCATACCATGTAATTTATTTTATGATGTTAACTTACTTTTTCAGCATAAAAGACACTTATTTTTCTTACAACTCAAATTGATGTTTTTGTATAACCGCTACAATAAAACCTGAAAACAGTAAAATGTAGTTGGACTCAAAATTGTGATATAGAGTTTCAGTTTTAAATTAAAGTCTTAACTTTTAATTATTCTAATCAATACTGCAATATTAGAAATTAATTATTGAAAAATAAGTAATGAGGATGGCCTAGTCATGTTTTTATTTTTTTATTAACCTCATGTTTTTCTGGTTATAGGATTATTTACACAGTCAAATGAATCCCCTCCACCATCGAATAAACAAATTTGAATGAAAACCTTTTTTATTTCCATTTCAGTTTTGTTTCTTGCATTAGGCGGAGTCAAAATTGTTATAAATTGATCTAGACTCAAAATGGTGGGCCAATGGTGATAAAAGCGTAAGGTGGAGTGAGACAAATTTCACATATAAAGCTTGAAGAGTATCAATGCTGTCGTTTGTCTCTAATAATACGATCATTGCTGAGTACAATATCCTCGTACGCCGAGAAAAACCATTCTGCCATTGTTGGATTACATTTACCTCGAATGTTGAGGAACTTATAAAAAATGAAGGATGTATGAATGAATTCAGTGGATGATCCTAAAATAAAAAAATCATGAATGAAAACCAGAACAATGCGATTTCTGAGTGTGAAAGCAGTGAAACCAGACTGGTTAATAATAATCCGCAGGTATGAAAACTAAACTTTCTAATAATTTTTCTTATTTACCTGGTTACTTCTGTATTTTTATTGCATAGTTTTCTGTGCTAATTTTGGTTGCCATGTGATTATTTCTTATTTTCTTGTTTTATTGTGGCAAGATAGTACAGTAAAATAGTTGATAGTTTCGTAATCTAAATTTTATGTGAGTCCATATTTACTAGTTCAATCGTTTTGTTTAATAACTTATTGAATTGTTTTTTCACCTCTCAATTTTAAATTGGCTTGAGTGGAAAATGTTAAATGACTTAATAAGACTCCAACTTTCAAACATAGAAGCAAAATCTATCAAATTTTTTATGGGCATGTCGAAATAAGTTGAACTTTTTTTATAAATAATCATATAACCATAGAGCTTGACTAATTGCAGATAAAAAAGAAAGGAATGAATCTGTTGAAAAAGAGCAAGCATGATCTTCTTCGATTACTCAGTATATTAGAAGGAGAATTAGAAGCTAGAGATATCTTTATATCTGCCTTACAGGTATGTAATTCAAGTTAACAAGTTTTTTGTTCACATACCAGTGGAAGTACATAACAATATTTTTATCACTGAATTCAGGCTCAACTCACCAACCAGCGTAATGCGAGACAGCAGTATTTTGTACATCGACTGACTGATCCATTTCTATCATTACACAGAGATGATTATGTTGCTGGAAATTCTACAAATGATGATGAGAATCGGTATTATAATGAACAGGTCATCATTTTTGTTTTGTTTCCTTCAGACTATATTTTACTTTCTGTTTTATTTCTATTTGTAAATGGATTAATTCTGTTGTTTTAGGCCTTTATCGAGCCATTACCACTTCTCGAAAAAGTTGTCTATCAATTCAAATCTCAGCAACAGAAAATGCATCAACAAATGTCTCTTGCAAGCAAGATACATAGAAAAGTAAGTTAAATTCCTGTTTTAAACAATATATGAACGGGACATACTGATGTACTATGTTTAACCTATATATACGTTACTCAGCAACTGACTGTTGAATATTTGAAGTTTACATTGAGATTGTAAGAAATCCATGATGACCAGTGTTCCCTCTAAGGTGTGCGCGTCTGCTCGCGCACACAGCTTCCAGAGGCTGCGCACACGCATAGATTTACTGCACACAGACGTATTTCGATGTAATGTAACAATGTGCTCGGTTGGCAGGTTGAGAAAGTTTGGTGTTGGCCCACTTATTACCCGGTTAGAACGCCAAAATTTCTTCATTGGTTTTTGCACAAATATTAGTCTTTTCCGAAAAAGTGCGCACACACCAAAATTTCTGCGAACACATACTACAAAAAATTAGAGGGAACATTGACGATGACCATGCCATGTGCTGATATTATTCATTTTATATAATATTCTTTTTATACAATACATTTATGGTATAATTTTCATTATTCTGTTTCAGAGAAGTACCGGCGTATCGTTACAGGAGTACTAATACCATTTAATGTTCAAAAGACCCACATTTTTTTAAGTTATCTAAATTGCAATCAAATCATTGTATATCACAAATAAAATTTGAAATACATTTTTTTCAAAGTGTCATTAAAATTAATTTTTGGCAAAATGCTGCCGCTACATGTCTCATATCTAAGATGATTGTTATTTCTTCTGATGATTGAGATCAATTTGTTTATTTGTCTATCTCATTGTTTGACGTAAATCATATTCAAGGATCATGTGTGTTATTTTAACTTTGCCACATCCTAATTCTATTATACAAGCAAATTTTTACTTTCAGATGGCTCATGAATTGGCTGAAGAAAAACGTAAACATGCTGCTGATACAAAGACAGGCGATGACGTAACTATGGCTCTTGAGAAAGAGAGAGAAAGACTCAATGCCAGTGTTTTATGTGAAAAAGAGAGAACAAAACGAATTGAAGGAGAATATAGAAAACTGCTCGGTTTATGCAAAGAAGAGAACACAAAACATAAAATGGTAAAATTCGAATAAATGTTAATATGAGTGACTAATCAATCAGTAAAAGTTTCCTAAAGTAGTTTGCCTTTAATACAATTTATCATTAATCAATCTGTTGCGATAATTGAGATGATTTGTTTTGACGATTTATGTTACGATTTATGAAGCTATTATGAAACAGTGTTAAGTTCTCGAACCTCGAAGTCGAGTCATATGCTATCAGAGTCAAGCCAATCACTGAATCTAATCACATTGGCGTTTAGTTGTTGGTGGGTCCGAGTAATTCCATTTAGAAGGCTTGACTCACTTTGAGTCTTTGCTGGGTAGTGATTCGAGTTCAATTTGAGTTGAGTCAACCCCAATTTTAATAAAATAACTGCCACTTTTCAAAATTCTAAAATGGGTTGGGACTAATAATGACAGCTGGTAACATCCCGAATAGATTCAATTTTGGTGTCAAATAAAATTTATATATTTTATTTATTTTATATATTTATATATATTATCATGTAATGAATATTTATTGTGTACTGCATAGTTGAATCCATGTTGTTTACTGATGGTTTGCTATCTTTTACTGTTAAGATTGTTGTATCGTTATTGGCTGAACAAGAAAGATTGCGACAACAATTAACAGAATCTAAAGAATTACAAATTGATATAGATTCGACAGAAACAGAATTACAAGCAAGATTACATCAGGTAACTGACCTAAAATTAATTAAATAAAGATAAATTGTTCTTTGGTAAATCGTTAAGACATAGTATTTTTTATTTGGATTTTTGAAATCGTTGATTCAGGGATGTCCAAAACAAATTGAATACATTCAAAATTCATTATATTGGATATAGTAAATTTTTGAATTTAGGAATTTAGAACATTTTTATTTAACATTAGGGCTTTTGAGCTGTCAGACAAGTTTATCAAAATGTACCATATCTCAACTTGTAGGAAACAACACATAGAAAACAATGACCTTTTATATCTGTGTCATTTTAGATGTGATCAACATGAACTTGCTTCCGATTTAGAATGTATTGAATATTTCATATACGAAAATATTTTCTAGAATACAGTCGAAATAGTGATATATTTGGTTTTGGCCATCCCTAGTTAGATTTATTAGTACTTGTTATTCAGTAGAAAGTTTTTTTATGACTCCAATGAATAATACCATAGCGGGCGTATATAAAGATGTAATAAATGATGTAAAAAAACCTAAATAAACACTCGTTAAAGTAAAACAAACCTGGTTGAGATATATTGAGAACTGACTCCATTGGACAAAACTGAAATTGTGACAGGACTTATGAACACTCTGTATATTCTAGATTATTATATAGATATAAGATTCTATAATTTGGCTAATGGTGTGAGCTAGGTTAGTTGAATTATTCATCATTTACCAGAATTGACATGCGAATTCCAAATTATGTTTATGTCTGTCCTTCAGATAAGCATTTGGAATTCTGTCATATTATGACTTGATCTATGGCATTTAAACTCAGAATTTTGCATTATCTTTCATATCAGATGGTAACAATATTCAATTTTAAATGTTGTTTATTTATCCACTGTCTGGTAAAATTGTGATTTTGAATGATATTTTATAAAGCCATCAAGGACATCATATCTCTGATGAATTTTTCGATTATATATTACTCAATTTATGCTTCGGTGTAATCATAGCTTTTGAATAGTTGTATATTCTTATTTACTTATCACGGTGTTTGCTTCAAGTTGTGGGGAAATTAACTTTAGTGTAGGTCATGGACTCATGGGTTCTTGTTTGAAAATTTATCGTCTCAAGCATTTGACATTTGATGACCAGATAAAAAACAACAACTTAGTTTTACTGTAAAACACCTACACTATAAAAACAACAAATCAAAACAATGTTTATTTGTAACTTTCTACATTGCCAAATTTTATATCAGTGAATTCACAATATTTTATAATTCTGTGTTGATTGGGACCCAGTTTAGAATAAATAAAATACGCTATTCCATAGTTGTAGCTATTATTTCAAAATTTATTTGGAATAGTACCGTAAGTTATTGGTTTTGGACATCTCTCTAATCTTAATGTGACTCATGGTTTTATACAAATCTGTCAAATTTATTATTCAAATTGAATTGCGAACTTCATAATAGGCTTTGAAAGAGAAACAAGACCTGGCAATCAAGTTAAAAGAGGAACAAAACCGCTGTAGCAGTTTGAAATTACAAATGCGTATTTTGCAAGAAAAATCAACTCAGAGAAACTTAAATCAAACAACGAACTCAGCTAAAACCGCACTTGAACATGCTACGGAATTATACTCCTGCGGTGATTCAGAGGAGAGTATGACACCTGAACTACCTATAAAAATGTGCAAAGCACAATCTTTTACATCATCTTTGGATTCTAACACTGAGAGAGATATGGATACAGTAGCGCACTTTTTTGCTAAGCATCATCCAATGAGTGTGGCACAAAATACACAAGATGTAACTCTCATACCAACCAGCAGTCACCCACCCATTTTACTGGCAGATGGTGTGGAGGGGGTTACGACATCAGGGTACGTTTTTTTTTTTCAGATTTATAAACTAACAATGGGCATTTTAAGTTTTTACTTACAGCATTTGGTTTATCAAAGATTCAAAGTATTGACTAGCATTATATTTTGTCCATTATATTTCATGTATGGAAATTTTATCTTCAAATATTATTATCTTTTAGGAAACGGGCTCACATAGTTTTCTATACTTTCAGTTTTTCAATTTCAATCAGGGATAAATAAAGTCTTATTCTGGTGAATACTTAATATGTTGTGTCCCAGTTGTCCCTAACCTTATTTTGGTCATATTGAATTCTGTTGTGCTTGAAGCAACAGTGCACAAGTTACCATACATATACTCCCAGACCAGCTTTAAACAATTCAATTACTGGCTGTGGATAGAATTCGTTATTTTTAAAATTGATCTTTAACAATACCGTTTTTTGTGTAATAAACTTACTGGAAACAATGAGCTGCGTTTTATCCCTAAGGTTTTAACTGCGTCTAAAATTGGATAAAATATACTTTAGGTCTTGGTCAGTGTGATAAAATACTAGACATTATTTAACAGTATAACATAGCTACAATTTGGTATCCATTAGTTGCGAAATGCCAATATCATCATTTTTCTATATATTATGTCATGAAACTTGCACAATTTCAATGTTATATACATGTATGATTGTACGTGATACAGGCCCATATAACATTATGTCAAGGTAGTAATTATGGTACCCCCTATGGAAATTATCTGAATCATTGTTATTGAGGTTTAAAATGCATTTGAAGCAGTTAAATAGTTTAATTTTAATGACTGGTTAAGCCTGTTTCAAAAATCAATATGAATTTCCACTGAATAATTATTCTATCATTTCTATAGGTATTACAGCGTCAAGCCAGGTTCCACAATCGCTGGTTTGGAAGCAATGAGATCAACTGCACAAAGTAAAGAAATCCTGAAAATGGAATATTGTAATAATAATAATGATACCTCTGATAAATCCAAAGAGATAAAACAAAATATAGTGTACACTGATATGCTCAGTGATAAAACTGCCGAATCTCTATCCCTTAATCTGAAACCCCAACCTCCGAGTGTCACTGTCCCACCCAAGCCGAATCGATTCGTCCCTGGATCACCCCATTATTCACCTTTTCGTAGTCCACAAACATTGTTTAATGAGAAGACCCATTCGCCTATGACTTCGTCACCCACGTCCGGAGCTGCAAATTTTGCAATGAACTCACCAAATGCACCCACTCCACCTCATGGGTCGCCATTTTCAATCACTCGGACACCTTCAGTGAAAGGCCCCCAAAAATTTACGCCTTCTAAATTAGATACCCCTGTAAAATTATCCGACTGGGCATTGAAGAATTCATCACCGGGAAGGACTCCTATAAAATCATCACCAAATCCTAAATTTCAAGCCACAAGATTGAAGTTTCAACAAAATAATGGAACAGCTTTAAAATCAACAGATTCTGAATTAATTAAGCCAATGAAAGAAAGTTTAGTGACGGAGAAGAAAATTCAGACTAAAAAGTTTTCTCCTGTCAATTATAAGTGAGTACATCTATTTGTTTTTCTTCTCTTTAACTTGAAAATTTGTATTTTGCTTCATAGATCACCCATCCAAGTCAAATTCACCCATTTACGAATCCACGCTCTGGTAGAACAAAGATACAAAACCACCTTAAATTTGTACATTTTGGTTATAGTATCTTTACGAGTCTAAATTATGTAATACCGAAACTAAAAAATCAGCAATTTTGACAATTCTTGAAATCTGATCACATGGTTTCAATATAAATATGGCGATTCTTAATTGTGTATTTGTGAGACTCGAAAAATTGTATTCTGCTTTCACTTTCTCTAATCGCTTCTTCTGATATAAAAGGTGTTCATAAAATCACGTATTAAACTAGTTTTCTTATTGTATTTGCCAATTTGAGAAGTAAAATTTACCCCTTAACCCTGCGGACTGTCTTTTTCCAGTGTGTAAGCATGATAAATTGCGAAAAATGTGTCGCTAGTCTAGACAGTCTATCCGCAATAATGAGCCGCAATAATGAGCCGCAATAATACCATACATTATGTAACTGGAACATTACAAATTACAATCAAATCTGTTATATGAGCAACTGCCATATTTGGTCACTACTGAAATGAAATCGGTAGCCTATTCGTGTACAGTGTTTCTCTAAGAATAAGACAGGGTTTTATCTAGATATTCTTTTAAAAAATAACACTAGGGCTTATTTTCAGGGGATGTCTTATATTTTCATTCATCAAAAAATTAGAATTACGGAGAATTACTAGATTTTCAAATTTACAAAATATGGGAATCTATCTTCATTCACTTATAAATACCGCATTTTTGTCTCACACGTTTTAGATTTATCACTCAAAACGTGTAAGAGAGATTTCTTGCTATCCCAAAAAAAATCGCTGCTGACTAGATCTCATTTTAAGGGGAAAACTTATAATGAAATCATTTTTAAAATTCAGGCTAGGTCCTATTTTCGGGGAAACACGATAGTATAAAAATTGGTATTTGTTGCTTGAAAAGTTTACCCTCTTATGCAAGTCAAATCTACCCATTCGGCCCCCGGTCTTGCAGACCAAGATATAAAACCACCTTAAATTTGTACAGTTTGGTAATTGCGTAATACCGAAACTAATAAATCAGCAAATTCTTTAATAAATCTGGTCTGGCGTTGTTTCGATGTAAATATGGCGATTGGGTATTTGTGTGAGACGTTAACAAAATCCAGAATATGTATCTGAAACAAATAACTGGTTTATTGTTCTCATACCCAACAATGGACTACAATGGACTAATAACCCAACGAGAGACCATGGTTCACCATAGAATTAAGCATTCTTATTGTATTTCCTCTCCCCCAGGATAAATATGAAAATCCTATCCAGCATGGGTTGTAATTTCATTGATCGTATCAATTTGAATGATTACTGTATTTTGAATATTTATAACTCACTTACACTCTTTTAGATATCATTAGTATTGATTTATAATTCCATGCAAAACTTCTCCATACTATTCGTTATTGATCACCTTACGGATTGCTTTGTTTAGCTACCGTATATGTTAAATTTCACATATTTTAAGGTCACATCAATTATTCCAAGTCATTTTTTGTTGTTTCAAGCTTTTGAGAAACGCTAACTGTATTGATTTTTTTGTACTTGAAGCACTTTATCTTCACTTCAGTGGAGTGTCATTTCTTAAGTGTTGGAAAGACAGAATTTATTTATATCTTTGATGTCATCTTATTTTTACCAATTCTGATTTAATAAATGATCAAATAGGGCTTGTTCGAATTCTAGAAAAAATTTTGAAGTATCAATCACCTTTGAAATTCTCGTTTTTTTCATGGGCGTGTTGACTTACTGTATGTTGTATCAATATACCATATCTATTTTTGCATAATGCGCGAGTACTATAATCAATAGAAATAAGACTTATAAATATGGAAAAAATATTATCCAGTTAGGCATAAAATATCGATTATTAATTTTTGATACGCATCCCTATTTTTAGAAATTGAATTTAGTTGGAAATTGTGCATTGTACACGAGAAATACAATATGTTCAAATGTTACAATATATCATGAATATTGTGTGCATAACACGTTGAACAAGAAATAATTATAGGATATGAATTTTTCACGAGTTTACTGATATTGTATCCTCCCGTTTCTTGCTATATTACTACCATTCATGATATGTTATTGTTAGTTGTTACTTGTTACACACAAATTTTTTATCAACCATCTAAAAATTCTTTGCTAAGATTGATCACAGCTTCATGCCTTCTAAATTAATATGTCAGATCAAATTTTAGATCTACCGTAATATTCAGGAACTATGGGTACAGTAATTGCAATATTGTATCTTGGCTAATGTTGAATTATTCATTGTAGTCTATGTAGTCTAATGTAATCTAAATGTAGTCTAAAAAGATTTAAAACTGTTATGAAATGGAAATTGAATATATTAGAGAGGTGAAGTTATGTCTATTTGCTTCCCTAATGGGTCAGTATCATGACATATTATATATCATTTGTTCTCTGTATTTCTTTTGGCGCTTCGGAAGTATGTGTACCAATATGGAGGTAACTAATTTTGGTCGCCTACTTTACATCAAGTTGTGTAAAGGACTGAAACCTATGGGCAGGGGGATATTCACTTGGCTAACACAGACAGTCCCCGAACTCGTAATAGAACTAAAAAACGGGATAAAATTATGGCCTAACCTGGTACACACATTACGGAAGTACCTTTCTTTTTTATACGGCACCTATTCATGTTTGTATGCCGCTTTAAAACATCTAGGTCATCATGCTCTGATATAAATTCATTTTCCACATTTCTATATTTTCAGATCACATTTTTCACAAAAGGTATCACCATCCAGTACTGTTACGCCATTGTCCACTACATTACCGAATGTTTCAACCATTTCATCGAAACAAGAATCAATGAATGAAAATGAGAAAGTAAAACCATTGCCACCAAAAACAAGGGTAATTTTTTATTTTAACACATCATTCCGAAACATAAAACTTGGTTGTTACATCCGAGATTCTAGAAAATATTCATAATAAAATAATTTTCTGTGTTGTAAAATGTGCGTCAAAGATATGTGATCCAAGTCTATATATTTAATTTAGAAAGGTTATTCTAGGTAGTTTTTTAATCAGCTTTACTTTCAGTATTTGTTTGATGGGGTTTAGCATGTTTTAGCTGGGATCATAGATGGAGTAATATTTTCTAGTGAGCTCAGAGCTGAAGTCGAAGTCAATTTTTTAAAACCCTAAGCCAGGGACAATAATTTTCAAAAGAAGAATCAAGGACAGGGTTAATTGTGAGTTTTCTCAGATTCAACACCATAGCCCTGGTCATACATAGCAATGAACTATTTGCTTGTATAAATTATTATTTTTTGGAACAAATTTTTCTTCTAATCAATGCTTTTTTGTTGTTTATTTTTTTGAAACCTTTCTATTTAAGTTTTAATATGTGATAGTAGATAGTATAATATCTACTCGTAATATTTTTTTTCAGTTTTTTAAATTTAATTTAGGCTATATACATTGCGACACTTCATAACATTCAAAAAGTTTATATATATTGTTCCCGCTATGACGTTCCAAGATTATTTTTAATTAATCATTGCACAGAACTGAATACATCCCTCGTAAATATTATTTTTTTCCTAACAAATCCCAGAGTTATAACTTTTGTCATAGAATAAGTCTCATAACGGGAAGAAGCATTTGAACATCTGACGAGAAATATCATAGTCCTGGTGCACAAAACTGCGCCAATTATGAGCACCATTAAATAATAATAGTATCGAGTTGTTGGAGAAATAAAGACCATTATTTTTATCACCATTGTTTTTGCACCCACATTAGTTCGTTCATCCTGTCTTTTATTTGTTTATATTTATCTATTCAATCATATCATCATTATTTCCTCTTCCTATAGACTTCTTCTGCTCCACCATCTATCAATACTGTAACTTCGGATCAAGCAAGACCTCCACCTTTACCACCCAAGAAACCAAACCTCAACAGGTACCTCGTTATCGACACTAAATACAGCATGTTTATGTGGGAGGGTTTACATATTACTCATATTCTTTCCTAAAAATATATTTGATGCATAGCATAATATGGATACGAAATATGAATTATGGCTTGGTGGTTAAGCCATCAAGGTTTTGTACATTTACCTCGTCTCTGTCATAATGTTTATTTATTATGCAGATGTTGTTACATTTTGAGGTAAATAATAAAGTATAAACATACATAAAAAATAGTTACCGTAAGTCATAGTCATCATGGTCTGAAGCAAAATAAACTTGAACACAATCCCCAACTTGTTTTTTAAGGTTTCACCGTTATATTTAATAAACGACATTGAAATTTTTATTGGCAATTCATCATAAGTGCAAATAGGTGTGAATCATGTTTTTATTGCATAATATATCAATCAGGAAACATTATGAGTTGATTGAGAATATTCATAAATCATAATCTGTCATATATTAAATGGTTACTGATTAATAAACTGACTATGTACAGTTGAAATAATGAAATACACTTCAAGTTTAAAATTTGATTAATCAACTTGATTGTGATGAATGTTGACTTCCACTATTGACTTTCTTGTTTATCTTTGTATTTCTGGAACATTGGCCAATCATGATAACATAACAGTGATACATGATGCAACAATTGAAATTTTAGTATTAGAGACGCTTTTCTCACAATGTATTCAATCATTGTTTTGCAAGTTGACTTGTTTTTGATATTTTTCAGTACTACTTGTCCTAAATCAAATAACCTTTGGTCAGTTTGGATTCAGGAAGGTTTCAGTTTAGTTACAGAAACCAAACTACAGTTCCGTACAGCATCAATAGATTAGGCTAAAAATGGCTGCGAGTACTTTTTCGCAGAAGTTGCTTGAATGTTTTGAAATGAAATTGTGCTTTTTAAAAAGTTCAATCGTTTAGAACAGGGGTTCTCAACCTGGGGTTCGCGAACCCCCAGGGGTTCACGAGAAGATTTCCAGGGGAACTTGGATGGCAGTCGAGTTTTTGTATGTTGCTGTTTTTTAATATCCTTTATTACTATAGGGGAAAATGCCTGCCCATTGAAACTGGACGCCAATTGAAACATAGATTTTCCCTGATCTTGCATTGTTGTGATTGTGACGCAACAATGTGAAATTCAAGTCTTTGCGTTCAAACTTTGAAATTTCTTAAGACAGCGTGCTGCGAGCATTGGAGAAGTGATTATGCTTATTGAAAATTGGGAGAGATTTTAGGAATTCATTAGTTAGGCGGACGACAAGGGCAATAATATCAACAAGACGATTTAATTTAGTTATCTATGGTCAAAAAATTGGTGTTGCAACAAATCGTTATTCAATATATGTATATCACAACTTTGTTCGGTGTGATTACCGGGGGTTCGCGTTGATTGTTTCATGACTCGGGGGGGTACTTGACGGAAAAAAGGTCGAGAACCCCTGGTTTAGAACCTCCATTCATCAAATAACTAAAAGAAAATAAGCATCAAAAAGTTTCCAATGGTAAAGTATAGTAAAAATTGGGTTGGAGAGAAACAGCCCTATTTAGAATCTTACACTGAATATATTGTGTGCATTGACTTGTTCTACTATCTTACTAATTACTGAATTTCAATTTATATTTAATTACACTAGTCAGAAACCACTACTCAGAAATTAACACTGTATATCATTGTTACAGTGAAAAGCCAACCAAACGTAGCACTTCTCTCACATCAGAAGTAAGAAATTCAGCAGAATCATCAAGTTTTCAAAGGAAGGTAACAGGAAGTGTAATAAAGAGAAATACGTCATCTCAGAAAACCAACTCCACAAATTCAGAAAATTGTAATAATAATAGTATCGGTAATGGAAAAAGAGTCAAGGGTGAGTGACCTGATTACATTTTGAAATATTTCCTGAATTATTTTGTCGTTTTGTTTTCAAAACAAAAAAGCAATGCTCAAATATATGAAAAAGGAAGGTTGCGCATCGCGACCAGTACGCACCAATTTCCTAAAAAGATCTGCAGACAAGCAAGATGAGCATTATGGAATAAAAAGTGTTCCCCTTCACTTAAAATAAAACAGCGAAGTTTCTGCGAACAAACAGGAAGGGCAATACGGAATAAAAAGTGTTCTCTTTGAGTTGAAATGAAACAGTGAAATTTTTGGTGAAACATTGTGTCACTTGAAAATTGAAAAAATAAATAAAAGCTTTCTAGTGCCTTGGAAATTCAGAATTGTTTTCCAACAGTAATAAGAATCAGTGTAACGATCCATCGATAAACTTGTTCAATAAAACAAAATTTAACATGAGAAAGATCTGATTTGCGCTACATTGAAATTCTAATTTGTGTGATATTTGTTCTGTAGCATTTTTTCATAATTAAGTACAATATTAGTAATCATAATGTAAAAACAATATGATACACTGTACTGTAAAACATAGCAAGAACTGTTTAAGATTTATCGATGTATAACAAAATACAAACTATACCACATATGTGGTATGAGAAACCGGGAACACACTGACAAAGGGTATTCAGGTTATTTTCTGAATTAGTTATCCACATCGCTTATTTGCTAATTTTTTATCCAAATTACCTCGTCCATAATTTGTTGAAATAGATAAGAAAAAAATTCTAATCGAGTAGTGTGAATTTATTTATGACTTTATTTTTTTTCAGCTCCAGTCCCACCTTCTCTACCTGCTAAACTATCATCTCAACAACCACAATTACCAACACCGCCAGGTAAAAAAAATAATTTGAGTATTAATATATTAATAACTATTATAGTTTGAGTGAATATGGAATTACAATTCTTACCATAAGATACAAGCACATGAGGAAAATTTTGGGAGTTGAAAAAGTTAAATCCAAAAGTCATAATCATCATAACTTGTATTGTGTGGACCATTGGTTCCCAACCGCTTTTTCGGTTCCGAGTCTTCGTGAATGCGCTCCATCAAATCTCGCAAAATTCAGAAACCTAAAAATTGGCACGCGTGCTTTTTCTGTTCTGCATGCTGCTTTTCCTGATTAATATGACCATCCAAATAAAACGTTATGCATATTTCTTTGTTCAAACCCGAAAACAGTCAAGAAAAGTATAATACTCCAGTAAAATATGGCAGGTGGTCACGAGGCGCGCAAAAAAGCATGGGCCGCTAAGATCTTTTCCAGTATCTTGAGCAGACAAAGTAAGATTTTGAGCCTGGTGCCAAGTTAGCGACGACTTTGTCATTGTAATGTAAATTCATTTAGTTTGAAGCATCGATCAACTGCAGAGGGATTACTGTGATAAACCAGATGAAAAAGAAAAGGCTTGATTCAAATTGTGATTCTACTTTACAGTCCAGGAGTTACCTATATTTTTATTACTTATATATAAAAATATTTTCATCGCTAGCTTTAATTAAAACGAAGCAAGGAAATTGGCTGCACGCCTCTGCAGAGCTACGTGTTGCAGAAACTTCACTGGGGCATCGTTTGCAATCCTATATTGGAAAATAAACAGCAGCAAAATTCTCACTAGAGTTAATTGTGTTTGTACATGATTTGGCATGTACATTTTTTTTATGTGAGATGTTTTGTGTGTGCCTTTCTTACGCATAATGGGTGCCCAGCACTGCATTTCATTACGCAAATATGTATGTTTCACCCATTTCAATTTTTGGCCGTCACATTTGATAGTTTTTCTTCGTGTGAGCTGTTTTTAAGTGCCTTTTTTGACTAGATTCATATTGAGTGCCCGACATTGTATTACGCAAATATATGATATTCTTGTCTGTTTCGGTCATTTCAATTTTTTCTGGTCCGCGAGTACATTTAATTTAATTTTACCGGTCCGCCAGGGTAGAAAGGTTGGGAACCACTGGTGTGGACCATGGCTGGTCACACATATCAATTAGTGTGATATATTGCGTAGGCAATGCTGAACCAGAGGGATATTCTGGTCTTTTTAAAACAATTGTAGATTCATGCATAGGATAGAATTTACCTATCCTATGCAGGGATAGTTATGCTCAGAGAAATATTAAACACATCTATAGTATTCATATTTTATGTAAGATGTGGTATGATAGTTCCAACTGTCAACATTTTCTGAAATATGGAGATTGCCCTTCAGGTAAATCACAACTGGGTCTTCCTGTTTGAGTCTTTTATCCAAACAACTGGAAAGTTTTATAGGATTTTAAACAATTAATTACTGTAATTACAAACATAAACAATGGCAATTTTTAAATTGCAAGAGTATAATGCAGATCAGATCAAATCTCATGGCCATGTGAAATGACTGATTATGAAACGTTCGTTTGAGGGAATAGAAATTGGGTTGTGTTGTGTACTGTATACTTCGAACAAAGTTTTTTCCTGCACCATTAATATAATAGGTCCATTTGTTGGTACTATCGTAGTATGTGTACCAGGTTAGGGTTAGGCCATAATTGTTAATATTTCTTCTCTCTTTCTCGTTGTTATGAAAAAATCCCTTTTCTCTTTAAATGATGAATTAATGCTGTGAAATTAAAGATTGTTTTTGTTGCTAGAAAGCTATATTATTTGTTCCTAAATTTCCGACGACATCTGATATTTTATCGAAAATCCCACTGTTTTATTTTTATTTATGGTAACATGATTTAGGACAGCGTGTGAAAGCTGTCTTCCGTTTTGATTTTGCCCACTTGTGCATAGCGCAGTCGGATAAGTTTGATGCCAGTAATGCAATGTAGACTAGGTACGGTAAGATATTGTGAAATATAAATGTTGATAATGTTAAATAAGGCTACCCTACCCTACCCTATATTTGAGCATCACTCTCTTGTACTATTTGAGATGATATGCCATATTACACAATTAATGTTTGTTCATTCTTCAGCTGGACCAAGACAACCCTTATCAACCCAACAGCGTGTATATCAGTCTTCAAATGCCGACAGTAATCCTATGATATCTCCTGCTCCAAATTCAGCAACATCGAAAACACAGAATACATTTTTTGGTACTTGATCTCATTCAGGAAAAGGACAGTTTTTGAAATTCCGCTATGTTCAGTATTCTCTTTAATGCGCTTTCCGCTTTTACACCAGGGTCAGACAGACCCTCAAAATTTTTGTAAAAAGTGATTTTGCTGTTATTGTATTTTCGTAAAGGACACCAAAGCGCTTGATATGTAGTCCAAAATTGCCTAAATTTTTTGCAGTTTTCAATATTATGCCAATCCTCATTTTTGATCATTGATCTAACATTTGAACAATGCATCCCTTTCCAGTATATAAACAAAAGTTTGTTGAAAATAATGATTCTGAAAGTTCTGAATATGTTCATCCATTTCGTCTTGTCATTAGTACGTATTGTTGTAATTATCTAGCAAAACCCTTTTCCCAAGTCTTTTCAGAGATCTTCATGAATAATGTTATTAGCCCAGAACCCAGATTTCGAAGCTAACTAGTGAAACAAACCGGAGAAAGATTCCAAAATCAGATAGTGTTTCTGTTGTTGCCATACACGACAAGGCTCATAAATCGAGCATGATGTCAATTAAACAAGATTTTCTAACTGCGAAAAATTAAACATTGACTGGAATTCCATTCTAATTACTGTAATATTGCAGTAAAGTAAAGTTGCCTTAGACTAAAAAATTGAAAAAGAAAAAAAAATTCAGAAAAAGGAAACAAAAAATATCATGAAATTGAAATTTTAGTTGGCAATTTTTTCTGTGGCAGCTTTTAATCCTATGAAAAAGATATATTTCTACTCCAAAGATATGAAATACATTTGCACATATGTTATTATCATTATCGGCCTAATCCCTGTCATTACGCAGTCATTTCTCATAGTACATTTTCATTCATATATTCTGCTTGTGCTAGTCTTTTCGTGTTCCTATTACGTCTGCTTCAGTGCTGCTCATCGCAATTGACACCTGCCAGTTTTGTACAGATATACTTTCGTACCAAATTTAAATGAATTCATTTTTAGTCAAAGATTTGCCATTTCATTTTGCATCATATAAAACTGATGATTGGAACAGCATGTTCAAAGCATTGTCGAAAAGTGCTTGTCTGATACGTATATCTTCGGTCAGATGAAACATTACAAAATAGAATGTTTGAATATCTGATGGAAAAACCAATCATTTTTTTTAATTTGAGTAAAATTATTGATGATATTGGGAATAAAAATGCTTTATTTTGCAAATATTGGTCCGGAGTGGTACTCCATTTAGTGATTCACGCTTTTGAATCAACCAATATCCTTTTCTTGCAAATCTTGTCTTATAAAGCTGCAGTTAATCATGCAAAAGTCGCTTCATAATATTTTCTCATGCTTTTTCCATATTATAGCAATCATGTAATTCCATGCAATTTATCCATAACTAGCTTACTTAATGTAAATTTTCTCAAAATTCACTTTTGGATTGTATAATTTCTTATTTTTACCATTTGGCTACTCTACATGCTAATGGTTTTGAAGAATTGTTGTTGCAAGTTTTGTTTTGCATTGGAAACATTTTGTATAAACTTCAACTTAGAACTTAAGAAAAAGTTATGTGAATATTTAACTTAGCATGTCCTTGGTGTTCATATTATCATATTTAAACATCATTTACCATGGCCATAGAGGCTTTCATAAATAGCAACCATGTATGTTCTGTTTTATTCTCGTCAGTGACGATGTCTGTATATTTTGTGGATCATAATTATATTTTTCTGTATTTTGAATGGTTTTTATATTGTTATATATATATTTGTAATTATGATATGTTGTCAGCAACCTAATACCGAATGAACAATGAACTTGTGTTTCTGAATTGTATTGTTTTGCCTTAATTTTCATAGAGTGTCCCTGTTAAATAAACCATACGTCAGGGTTGTGGGCTCGGGAGAAAATCATTCAACTCCGAAGTTTGACTTCAACTTTGGGTTGTGAAAAAATCTGGCTTCAGCTTCAAAGTGAACCAAATTTTCCTTATTTATATGCCATCCTGTAATATACTTTAAAAAACGTTTAGTACTCGGTAAAGTAAAAATACTATAGTGAAAACAAGTCAAAACAGCTCGGCCATAGATTGTGTCTTATCACCAAAGACAGTAATTTGTTGTGAAACGTATATATATATGGTCGAAGGATGATAATTTTGAATGAAAATCTGTTCGACATATAGACCTGAATAATGAAAAAAAATTGACTTGGCATAGCATACTTATCATGTTTACCAACATTTGAATTTTTTGGGAGTTTGGAACTGGAGAACTTTGATCAACCTTCGTTTCGAATTGTAAATTTTTCCAGATACCACAGCCCTGCTAAAAATTGCATTGTTTACGAATGTGTTTCACATCACCACCGACTTATTTGGAAAAATATCACATCTGATTTATTGGGAACAAGAGTAAGCGATTATTTAATTCTTTTGCACTGAATGACAAATGCAATTTTACCAATGAACTGTTTGTTATTTGTAGTATTTGATTGATTTTTTAAGCTTTAACTTTGTTGTCTGGACGGTTATTTTTACCTCATTCCATGACATGCTGTGTTGTAAACTGCCAATGCTTTTTCATATAAGTGGCAAAATAGTAGCAAACTGATCAAAAGTGTCTGATGTGTGATGAATTGGGGTCAGCATGGAAAGAAAATCATAAAAGGAAGCCAGGAAAATATACAATTTGTACAGGCTTGAAAAATTCCAAGTCGCATAAAACACCATTTCTGATTTCAGGTTGACATTGACATTCAGTGCAAAATGATCAATCTTTATGTGATGAAGCAGTGGCCAGCACATTGTTAATCAGGGAGAGCAAAACAATATTTTCAAACTCTACCATATAAAACAACTTTGCAGCTACACCGTGTCACTGGCTTTGACTCCTAAAATATTGCAAGTTGTGTCCAAAAATTAACTTGGGTCTGCATTTTAGCAATCTCCAATACAACTTTAAGTACAAAATCACGCCTTCGGGATCTCAGTAGTAATTCCGATCGTTCTTATATAAACAACTTGCACGACCTGCCCATGTTGCAATCCTAGACAAGACTACAGTGTGTAATAAATAACTTTATTATCCTATTTCAAATCAAAATTGCCATAGCTTAAACAGACTTAGTGGAAACATTTATAATATGGCCATAACCAACAAATTGCCAAACAGACTTATTACGGTGCTCCAGAAGTATGTAAAAGAAAAGAGAAATAGTATTTTATATTCATTCTGGAAAAAGCGGAGCTGGCTTTTTATCGATATGTCAAACAAACAACCTCTAAAAATTCACGACTAAGAGAAAAACTGGTGAAATGCAAGCAAAGTTTTCACCAAAGCACAGTTTCATGACACCAGTAACTAGAAGATAAACTGGAGTATGCAAATGAAAAACTCAACAAACATATATTCTTCTTTCAATTCAACTCTCCAAAAGATTGTCACAGTAAACATAATGCTATTAATTACTTTTAATTAATAAAAAACGATCTCGATCATATTTATCAGGAATTGTCAAGAAATACTGTGTCGCATGGCAATATCATATTTTTACAACAACAAAAAAATTTAACTGACAAAAGTGTAATGTTTCATTGCAAATGTATAAATAGATTTCACTTAATATTTAAGCAAGCAACAATGTATAAACAGGAATGTATCATGAAAGATGTTTTATAATTTTTCTTATTATCTGTATTGTAAAATACTTGATCATAATACATTCGTTTTGAAAATCCCGGATACATACATACAATATTTAACCAAAAATCAGTTAACAAAAAAAAAAGAAATCATCATTATTTGAACTTTTCGATTCTTCTCAGTTGAATATATGACAAAAGAAGAAAACCGAGAGCCATTGCTGAAAGAGCGACAATGTTGAGCCATAAATCCCAATCAGTACCGTAAGGAATTCCCTGAGCCTTCATATACATTTCACCAGTGGTACTAAAAAGGAAATGATGTTACAAGATTAATTGTTAAATACCACATACAGAAATATTGAAACGAGAAGAGGGGAAATAGGAGCTTTCAAGCATAGTTTTGTCAGAACAAAACCTCTGTGCACTGAGTAGGTTCTAATCCAACAGGGGATAATTATGTGGGAGAGATTGCTGGACTCCGATCAGCCATCTTATCAACTTTTCTCTCCATGTGATACTTCGGTAGTCGAATGAATCGCTACACGAACAATTGCGTAGTCAATCATAAAACTTTATTCACGCTGCGGTACTTAACAGCAATTCGGTGCTCGAACATCTGAGCGAGTCGCCAAGTGAGACTAAGTCACCCAAATCGCTGCGTTTTGACCATTCAACAAGTGAGTGACGCTCAAATATAGGGCACCGAGGCTAAAACAAAGTAGTACGGGTATGCAATATGTCATAGTAGACAACCCAACAAGGTTCACAATTTGAAAATGTGTAAGAACAGATTAAAAAATTACCGATGTTTCTGGGAAAAATGTTTTGGTAGTTAAAACACCATCCTGAACGACTACCGCGGTATTAATGAAATTTCTTACGTGCCTAAATAGGAGTAGCAAGATTCAGTCACCTTAACTTTTGCTATCCGAAGAGTTATTTCTCAAGTTTATCTTAAATTGAGATTACCTATTGCTATTAAATTATTATTATTAAATTGTGGTAAATAGAAAAAGTTATTAAACATATTACATACAACTTACCATCCAGGAATTGGCACTGGCGGAGTCGTGTTATAAAAGCATGGCGAAGGTGAATTAGGATCAAACCCTGGCGTTGAACTATTTGCAATGAAGACTAAGCCAGACATTTCATTGATTGTGAGCGCCTGCAATAAACAAGTCATTATTCGATATCAATACACCAAGGCAACACCCAACATGAACGACCAAATGTTAGGCTCAGATTCCAATAATTCTCCAAGTTCATCTATGAAGTTTAATATTGAGAGTAGCCTAGTTTGACTAGAGTTCATGGTGTACCTTAGACAGTAAGGAAAAAGTCTTTGTAATATAGGCTTTGAAAAAAATACTTCAAATCTACTTTTATCTACTAAGTTTATATTAACGAAGTGTCACTTCGCTAAACTCTTGTTGACAGTGATTGTTGTAGCTAAAAATGAAATCACCTATCCCCAACAACTACTTTTTTCAAATTTCCTATTTGTACAATTGGGATCCAAACTTCACTTTCAATTTTGATGTCTATTTTGAGTATAGGGGAACTTTTGTATTTGATACTGCTTAACTGCCTTAGTGCTCTATAAAGCATGGCTACTCAACTGGCGAACCGCGCCTAATTCTTTATTTTGGATCATTGGCCCCATTTTGGATATGTGAAGGTTTCCTTTTATTAAATGACTTTTATAGCTTTAAAGATTATTTTATAATTTGCTCATATTTGCGCCTGACGATACGAAAAAAACTAATGCAGTGCCCATAATAATCAAAGTGAATAGTGCTATCTCAATCGGCAAATAATTGTTAACCTGTTGAGAAAGTGCGCGTTTAAGGATGTCGAAATATAATTTTGAAGTTTTGTATACGAATCTTTAACTTTAAAGTAAAGCACAAGTACCGATGCACAGTTAAGTGTGCACATATAATCTGCCCATTGCTCTGTTTGCTGCTAGAATATGGCGGGCTGGCAATAATAAAGGTAGATTTAATGAAACTACACTTACATTTATACCATATCTGAAGATGCTGACCCATTTAATCCATTCCAACCAGTCAAGTAAGGTTGTTGTGTTTGCAAGAAATCCACCGAACATCATCATCAGCAAATATGGTACCGCAACAAGAATGTTTGCTAACGCAAAAATACGAACACTTGCACTAACTAAAAAAGCAAGTGACGAGGCAGCCATTGCAGTGATAACAAGTGCCAAAACGAAGAAGAAAAACTTGCCAGCATCAAGTTGAAAACCTGAACGAAAATTAAACTCAATCACCAAATTAGTCAGTTAACACCCGGGTGTACAGACAATGGGGCCAAAAATACTCAAGGACCTTAAAACCTAAGATTTTTTTGACGTATGCAAATTCTGGTACAGATTATTTGAAAAAATGAAGAGAGGTTGACGCTTTCGTTTCTTGTATAATACCTTGCAGTGAATATGCACCATGAATAACTAAACGCTGAAATGCAATTTTTACGTTATTTTCTATATATTTTGTTTGTCCAAAGTGTATTTTCAGTACAATGACTCAATTACTCACGTCATATTCGTGTTTTCAATTGATCACAACCGGGAATATTTATACCAAAGGTTAATTTCTAATGAAAATGAAGCTGAAATGAATAACGTTATGTCCGTAAAGGGTATTTTAGCAAGAATATTAATTCACAACTAACTCACTTACAGGGAAAAAGGGTGGTTTGATGTAGCGGTGTGTGCAATTCGAAAGGGAACAAAATCGACACGCTAGAATATAATTACATTCTTAGAAAAAACTCAATACCCGTACGGTATAAGAAAATGAATTGATGCACACAAATCTATAACATACCCATCATGAAATAAATAATGGAACTGAAAACAATGTTCGGAATAACACGGTTCGGAATCAAGTCTGCAAACACGAGTGCAAGGAAATAAACAGATACTCTGTAGTAACCACTTGCTGATTCATGCCTGTAATAAAATAATCTTGGATTAAAAATATAGAATTAACACAATAAATTTAATCAGGATCATTCATATATAATAACTCCAAATAGCAGCGAATTGAGGACCCACAAAGACACAACCGGATTACGTTACATTCATTATCATTTTAAAAGTGGATGCCAAACTTGGAAGAATAGAAGTGCGTGTCTATTCTTGGAGACAAATATGACAATGAATCGACTCAATTTTATGATGATCAACAGTATATTGTTTTCTTGCCGACGTGGGTTGGGTGTGGGGCCAGAACATTGATGGGGTTTACACTAGAGATGTATCGGGTATCGGTAGCGGCTACATTTAGGCCGATATTTCAGATATATTTAGCTTCTCAATATGATCCAGAATATTTTAAAAAATAGGTCAGAATACTAATCTTGAAATTATTTTTTGCTTGGATAGATCGTGAACTATGTATGAGCCTTACACGTCCCCCACTCCGCTAGTAGAAACAGGAATCGGATTCTGACCTGTTTTTAGCCATTTATCAGCCAAACTGGCAACTGAGGGCAATGAGTTCAGCATACATGCACAGTTACCCCAATATTGTTCTCTTACGAAGCGCAATAATCACCAATATGATGACAAGAATATTCTTATTTCGAACAAATTCTTTCACAAAGAGCCTATAGGGATAATCTTGTTAATTTAGTAAGATTTACTGTTGTTTTTTAAATTAACAATGTTAAAGGAAGTAAAACTAGTTCGTTAAGACTTGTCAGAATTTCACTGGACATAATTAAGTTAAATAGCCCCAAGCCATATCACACTGACGAATCAGTTTTAATATAATTTATCTATGTTCCATACTTAATTAGTACATTTTCATCCATTGGTAATTAGTAGGCTATGTAAGCTACTGAATATTACTGATTTTTATCCTACCTGGTTGGATCATTCTATTGTATCACTGACAATAAAGACATTGCCTCGTTAACTGTGTCGGACAGACTGGGGGATCGGTGCAGGCGTTAGAGTGGTATTCGTCGTCTGACAACAGAGGAAACCAACAAACTTAGCCTAAATATATTCTTGGCTATAAGCCAAGCACTGAGACAATGAAAAAGACAAAAAATACTTACAGAAAATGTGCTCTTTGTTTTATAAAAAGCTCTAATGCAGAAAGGTTTGACATAACTTGCATCATAATCAGAAAGAAGAAAGCTCCAGCCCTGCAAACAATTAGAAAATCAATTTTCAGTACGTCCTGGGAATTAAGTATAGGACTTGCCTATGCAGGCATCGCAAATTCGAAATCTTGGATTTAAATCCCATGCCCTCCAACTCACGCAGAGTGTACTGTATTTTACGGACCATTGTACGACACTTTATTTAAATCTATTTGTTCTCAACAATTGATTGTGTGTCTTATAACATAAGCCTGCGCTTCTGATGCACTTAATGTATGAATCAGGTATTGCCTACATCCAAAACCAGTACCAGTATTGCGTTAAAAACCGTTGTTTCTTATAGCCCAATGCACCTTATGTATGAAGAAAAACCCAATTTAGGCAATTTATTGACAGAGCAATTAACAGGAAAGTATATGAAACTAAATGAGGCAAATAATTCAAGATTTATAGCAGTGATATCGATGTTAAATTTGTTTCCTTTAACCCTTTCCATGCGATTTTTATTTTTTATTAAATAATCGTATTTGCTACGCCGATTTTATGCATTTGGACCCCCACAACTAATCGATCGACTAACGAAAAACTAATGATCCTCTGCTGCCCACTGACGGCTCGTTGGAAAGCTTATTCAAGAGCTTGCAATTGGCGATTAAAAAAAAATTTTTTTTAAAAGTGGTGGTCTGAGTCACAAACCGGTTAGAAAAAGCCATTTTTTTTTCTTGGGAGTTGAAACTTCAAACCGTGATAAAAAATAGAAATATTCGCTAAATCCTTTACTGTTACCGCTTCGTGGTTGGCAAACAATAGCATAATATTGCTGTAGCAATTTCGTGATCTAACTCAAAATACTTTGGTAGATGGAAGGGATAATATGTCTTCTATTACCACCCAAAAAACACCGAAATTTGCATAAATTTCAAAAACACTCCCTCGTTCCGCCGCAAATAAAATTCCCGTCCTAAACGAAAGCGAGATTGCTTATGTTAATCTCGAAGAAGACTTCTTATCAATAAACTAAAACCCGGAAAAACTAGACCAACAGTTTGCGACCGATTGCTAAATAAAACATTGGAGTACATCAACGTACCCACCGCAATCTAGCGACTTTTGTCGTGGGTACGTACGTATACATGCCCACCGCACGGAAAGGGTTAAGTTCCGTTTATAATTTGTTTAGTGGCATTTTAGTACTACGAAAGTATAGGAACTAATAAATATCAGAGAAGAAAATACCTGTTCTGTAGACCACCCGGTGTCAAGTCCAATTGATAATAAATGAGTCCCATCAGCACACCAAAGAAAACCATCAGTAGAACTTGGGCGATTGACGTCATGGGATTTCGTATAAGATTCCGCACTGTTCTTCCTGATACTATTGCCAACTATGGAAGGTAAATAATAATCAATGATTAGCCTGAAGATAGACGAGAATCCTACGTGTAAATGGATGTCCTAAATGAAGTTGGTCAAATTCAGTTCAATTCTTTTACACCATCGGTGGGCAACTACCTTTCTGAGTGGGCCAGTTACAAATAAATCCTTGGGCTCAAAAACTCAATATGAAAAACAGTTTAAATACAACAGCTAGGCTAGCGTTTATACAATAATAAGAAGTACAAAGTAACAATCGTGGTCATTATGACGTTATTTTCATCGATATTTTCAGCGTAAATTTATATCCATAGAAACTAAAGTCGAAATCTCAGACACAAGTGGGCCAGATGAAACACTTCAGTGGACTGGATCTGGCCGCGGGATGAATTTGCAGACCCCTGTATTATACTTAGGATTTAGGATAGGGTTTTCATATTCATCCCAAGTGAGTGAACGAGCAGTAATAATATCGCGAACCATGAATGATATTTTTTTAAATATGGTCCTATTTTCTCGAAATAGGATTACCGGATAAAATATCGAATCTACTTAAATTCAAGTCATCATTTCACAAAAACTCAAAATCACTCAAGTCATCTAAATAGAACTCAGTGATTGACTTGACTTCTATATAAACTCTAACTTGGATGACTCTTGGTTTGAGGGCTTCTACCCAACACTGAAATATTAGTCACTGGTATGTCATATTTTTGACAATTATCATCATTCGATAAAAATATAGTAAAATTGAGTATTCACAAACCTGATGAAAGAATCCATTAGGATATTCTGTATTGAAATCGTCATCCAGCAAGTCGATGGAGGGAACTTCAGAAACTATATGTCTTGATTGAAATTTTGACAATATGGACTGTATAATATGAAGCAGTTAGATTATACGATTGAATAATAGACAAAATGGTTCGTGTTCACTGTTCTCAAACCTAAGAATTTGTCTCAAAAATACCTAGCTAACAATAAGCTACAAATAACAGACAGTAAGTATGTTTTATTAAAAAAAAAACACGTTGAAAATACGTGGATGGAACGAAAATAATGAAATAGATGAAAAGTTTTGACATGTAGTTATCCAAAATAAGGCGGGCAAAAATCTAACAAATATTTATATTTTTGTATAAGCCCTTGTAGGGCGCCTACTGTTTGAGAACCATTGCTTGAATATTATGAAACTGACATTATATAACATTATAATATGCCCAATATAGTGCATTACTTTAAAGCCAATCAAATGTAAGATTAATCAGCTCAATATTAGCATATCAAGCCTGCATTACCATTCGATGCAGGTATGCATCTATCATAATAATATTAATTTGTGATAAAAGAACTGGACTCGTCATTGCTGCAGGGTATGTCTTATGCCAAAAAATAATCGTGATTCATCCAACAACTATTTGAAACATTATAGTGGATAGCAGAATTTATACTTGGAAAGAACTTGAAATTGGATCAGAGATTTCACTTTTACTCACTTTGCATTTTACTTTCAAGAACAATATGTGATCGTATGCTATATTTTATATAGAAATAAAACCCATAAAATGCAGGGTGTCCCAAAATAAATAAAACCCAAAAAATTGGTAAATAAATTAAATGGGTTTGATTCACATGATTCCATTTTATTGCTTTCACGCTATACGGAAGTCATCATAAGCATCTCAACCAATTATATTTCATCATGTTACAATTATTTGGGTATGAAAGTAATAAAACTAACAGTACCTCAAGTATCTTTTCTTCATTCTCAGAGACTGATGAATTTTTGAAAGATTGTAGTAATTTTTCTGCTTCTTCTTCATTACTTTGATCTCCATTCTCTATAGATAACACTTCATCCAAATGATTTGCATCGCCGTTACCTAGAAAAATAATGCAAAGTGAAAACTGAGACGCCAAATTCTTCAACTTAAAAGTGAATAAATTATTCATGCTGGTTATGTAACACTCAGACATATTGTATTCTTGAAATACCAGGTAGATTACAGAGATAAATTATCAGTTGTTTTTTCAGATGCATGGATTGAAACAGTGGTTCTTAAAACTTCTATGATCCGTAACCTTATCAAATACTTGTGGTTTCCTGCTCTTCTATAAAAATACCTAATTTAGAATTTTAACACATTTCCTGAGTTATTTTATGTGCCACAAAAAGTATCAAATGGAAGCTAAAGAATACATACATGTATTTCAGTCAAAGAAATAAACAAATGGTAGTCAATTAACTTTAAATGAATGTAGTCATGACGAATCGGCATAGTTGATACCTTTGATTGTGGGCCCCAGAAAATTGTTCCATGACCCATTACGTGTGACAGGGGCCCAGTTTGCGAAACCCCGGCCTAGAGTAAACACGATCTAATCTGGCAATATCCTATATTGAGTTTAGTACAGGCATTAAACAAAAATATGTTACACATACCAGCAGATATTGTCACAACCGCATCAAGATCTTCATTCGATCCTGAATCTAGGTTGTGATCCTGAGATAGCATTCTGCCAAGAAGTTGAGCGGTTGCAATATCACCTCCAACAATGTCAAGGAAGAAATCAGCAGGATTATGATACTGAGGACAAGTATATCCTGTAATGATAGAAAAATCAAAGATTTATCCTGAAAATTTAAGATAAATACAAATAACATGGATCAATTTTTACAAATATTTAATTGAAATTCATTAGTTTATAGTTCGACTTCAGAAAAAACATGATTAGACTAGACAGTCCAATCAAATGGCGAACCACGGCCTCTCCTGTGGGATTACTTAGCCAGTTATTCATTTCGAATGCATGAACTTGGTGTTGGAAGCTGTAACCAACCAGCCGTTATGTGAGCCACCACAACTGTGGCGAGGAGTAAATAACTGATCTATAGAGCAGTAGACTATGATTTAACAAAAACTTCTATATATACCATTTTGTGGAAAGAGATCATGTTATTCTTGTTTATCACTTAATAGTAATAATATCTTGTTCCGGCATCCATGTGGCAATGATCATATACATGGATTCGAAGTAGTAGATAATAACGAAACAGGCTTTGAAGTGCAATACACAATACCTCATTTATGATTTGAAAGTCTTAAAGTAACTGGTAGCTGGAACTTTACAGACATTTGTGAATTTTTACAGACATACTGTGATTATTTTCATTTCTATTTATTTATTCGTGTTTGTGATTGTGATAATAACATTACGGTCTGGAGTGAATTACAGTGAAATGCACAAAATTTAAAAATTAATACTAGCAATATTTTAGATAATTTTTTTTCTCATCATGTATTTTGTCATTATTATTTTCATGACTTTGTATACTTTTAAATCTATTCATACATCGCTTCTTGTGCGATTAAAATAAATATCTGAATTGATAGGTTAATATTGTTAGAATAGATGATCGAATTCAAGGGCTGTTTAACGAGAGCCGGTTTAAAACCATGAATTGGTACCAAACCATACTTCAGTGGAATGAATGCAATGCCGTGAAGATTTTGATTTTAATATATGAACTTGGAAAATATGTCACAGTTCTGCAATTTGAAGGTTTCAAAACATATGCGGCCACACGCATGGCACATCGGCGACGTTTTTAAGAGACTCAAGGATGTACCCTATTTTTACATTACCCAAAGTATTATTACATTACATTTGTTTTCAAGGAGAATTCCTTGAAATCAATAACTCCTAGTAACCTGATACCAGATCGAAATGTTATCACTAGAGTGAATAGTTCAAACCAAGCCCAGACTATAAAAAGTATAAAAATTTTCATAGCGACCCAAAGAGTTTGTGGTACCGTATACAGCTATCAGAAAATCCGAACCCAGAATATAAAAAGTATAAAAGTTTATAGTGAGACAAAAGATTTGTGGTACCGTATACCGCTATCAGAAAATCCAAGCCCAGACTAAAAAAAGTATAAAAATTTTCATAGCGAGACAAAAGGTTTGTGGTACCGTATACAGCTATCAGAAAATCCAATATTTTAGTTTTGAGAAGGTAAACTTTAAATTTTTTGTTAATTATTAAACCATATTATAATATGCTCATATTTATTTAATTGTTGACATGTACAGACCTGATAAATAATAAAAAATACTTATTATATCATCACAAACAATATCAAGTCAAGTATGGACCAAACTAAAAATAAATGAAATTTTATACAACACCTAAACTAGGAGATGTTTTTGTACATGTACGGTTTATACAGGGGTTCCCAATATGGGCCCTTGGCCTCTTCATGACACTACGGATTGGTTTCATGGAGGCCATGAGCAAACGCCTTTACCCCATACCATTCGCCATATTAACGAGGGCCTTATTATGTCACTGTGACATAATTTTTGAATGCATAGTTAGATGGGGTTATCAAATGTAAGGGAAACCAATAATTTTTTATTGAAGAGTTTGAAAGGGGGTCCGAAATCCTAAAAGTTTGAGAAGCACACTCACCGATTGATGAGAAGTAGTCGACTGCTTCAGATGCTGCTCCTCTGTATATTATATTGCCTTGTTGAAGTAATATGAGATGATCGAATAGAGAAAATATTGAATATCTCGGCTGATGAATTGATAAGATAATATTACGACCTTCCTTCGCAAGACTGTGAATGAAAATGATTTAATTCATCAAATTTTTGTAAACCAATTTTGGTATTCAAATTCAATGTCAAGTAATACAAGAGAACAATGCTAAAATAGATTTTTGGACACAGAGGTCACACATCAGTATGGTAAGGCTTGGGAGACAGAGCATTGACTTGGCGGTCAAGCAATATCGAGGTATCAAAGCAATACAGGATAAAAATTGTTCCCATTTAGCTAAAATAAATCAGCAATTTTATTTCATGAAATAAAAAAATGAAAACAAGAGAGACAATTTTTTCTCAACAACAACAATATGATGATAACAGAAATGAAAATAATTGATATAAACTTTATAAATTTCCTGTTATAAGTCATATCCCTCTTTGTTCCTGTATGCACTAAATCACCAATTGTTTCCTTTACCAGTTCAAAATTATGTATTGTAACATATTTTACTTGAACAAAACAAAATCTTACTTGTACAACAATAAAATAATTGCATTTGCTGTATTTGCATCAAGACCAGTTGTTGGTTCGTCAAGAAAAATAATCGGTGGATCGAGAATAAGTTCCATTCCTATGTTCACCCGCTTTCGTTCACCTCCCGATACTCCACGAATAAATTCGTTTCCAACCTGAAATGAAAATGAATAAAAACTGTACACAATGTGATCAGACTTTATGAATTTATATGATTATTTATCAACCTAATAGATAACAAATGTTTTAAATTCTCTGGTGCCAATAATGAAGTAACACAATTTCATGTCAAAATTATCCAAAAATAATAGTTCCTTTCTGCTTATGAACGATACGCTGGAATGTGGTTATAGAGTTTGAGGAAGACGTTGGCCCGACTGCAGGACCCTGACTTTTGGTGAAATTTGATTCAGAGTTGAAACAAAATTTTGCCTCCAACTTCAGATTAATAAAAATTTCGACTTCGACTTCAGCTCCGAAATTTGATGGAAATCAAATTTGCATTATGCAAACTTTGGCATATCTCCTAATACAGTGTTTCCCAACCTATAGGTCGCGACTCAATATTTGGTCGCCTTGAAATTTTCTTAGGCCTTTCAACAAAAACCTAAAAGTTAACGCATTGAAGTGTTGCTCAATAGTAAGTATGTATGTAGGAAGTAGCACAGTGTAAAAACTCGGCATCTGCTGATAGTAGTCAGTCAGTTAATTTTGGACCATTCAAGGCAACCAGTTATTTGTTTCAGATGCATGGACTCGATCGACAATGTCTAATGCAAACATCATACCATGACGTTAATTGTAAATTTTGAATGTTAAATTTAGAGTTCTAAAGGGCATACCACTACTTGACACAGGCGCAATTTTCATTGTCGCCGAATTCTCAAGTGGCAGAATGGAACGATCAGACCGTTTATCAGGAATCAAACTGAATTTCAGTTTGAGCCCTGAACTAGAAATAGCCACGGCTGAACCGCTCCAGTATTCTGACGCGTATTATGTAAATAATGCGAGTTCGTCAAAGCCAGACGGACACATCAAAGTTATATCGCAAATATGGTCCAAACCTAGCCGTATCGGCAGTCGGTACTTTAATCTAGATTCTAATACATGTATGTGTTAAAATACTTTCGCAGTTGCAATTGATTTCAGAAACTCGCTGACAACCCAGTGTAAACTTACATTTTAATAAGCAGACTAATTCGTGACATGAATTACGTAACCATTTGCCATATTATGTAACAGCCGCCATTTGTAGCATAACAACTATTACATTACAGTGGCGTATCTCTTAAAATTGCGCCTATGGCAAAGTCTAAAATTGCGCCATGGCACGAGCCATGGCTGCCACACCATAGATACCCCAATGTTACATTATGAAACATGATATTACATTTTGTGGAACTGGGTGTACGTAGGGTTGCCAACCGTCCTTTATTTCATGGGACAATCCTTTAATTAAGCTTTTCGGTCCTTGTCCTTTTTAGCATTTAGAAACGATGCTAATTGTCCTTTATTCTTTCCAACGTCGTTTTGCCCGATAGTTATAGTACTGTGTTTGATATTGTTCCGTTCTTGAAAAATTGCTTCCGTTTATGTATTTGCAAGCTTTTAAATATTCTTTTCAATTTCGCTTTGGCCCGGCCCAAATATCCAAAGAAATAACAATTTTATCAACATTGTTTGGGTCAATGTTAAATAAACATTAAATAAAAAACACATGAAGATTGATTTAATATAACTTTTTAGCTTATATATAATTTTTATTTCATTGTTTTATATTGTTCTTTCCTGCTGCAGGAAACAAAATAAATGATGACGGTAATCTATGTCCTTTATTGAAACTTTTCATAGTTGGCAACCCTAGGTGTGCGCCAAAACTATAACTCATGATCGCGACCAGTGCTTGGATTCAGAGAGTTCGAGCGAACCCGTTCTTGCAATGTATTGGAAGGCCAACCCTTTCTTGCATTTTGTTTCAGACGTTGAACGACCACAACAAATGGGTGGTATGTACCGTAGTTCAGTGGTTCCAAAACCTTTTTTTCTTGCGCCCCCAATTTTCTTAAAATCAAAGCCTACAGATACTCGCGACCCCCACAACTAGAAACGTTCTTCTAAAATCTTCTAAAATTACTATTTAAGTTTAATTACAATGTACCTGTATATCAATTGCAAGTTGACGGTGAAGATTGGCCCAAAAATATTTGAACGAGTCCGGCAATGCGCCAGTAAAACGGGGAAACCTAAGATTTGATAACACATGGCATCGTATGAAAACTACGGTGCAAAAATCTCTTAGATCAGATTTATAACGGTTCTTTGACGAAACATAGACGGACTTGATAAAAAGCGTACGATACTTCGGAAATAGTAAGATTGCCTCTAAATATACATAAATTCAAAATCTTAATTAGTATATCCTAACCCCTATTATTTGCAGTTCAATATTAACATATTACAGATTGCTTCATTATTAATATTGATTATTGAAACATAGCATGAAAGTAAAAAAGGAAAATATCTTTTAAGTGCTTTTTATTATGCTAGAACTTGTTGTGGTTTTGTGTTTGACTGCTCGGGACGCTTCGAAATTATATATGAAATGTACAAATACGTAATATTGCAATACGAAAATGTCCACTTTTATTAATGACGAGGCGATGTGGACAAAACACGTAGCCTGCTCATAGAATATAGACACGTGCGCGAATTAACAAAGCGCTTTCGCAACTGACTTAGTCTGCCAAGACACCGCCTGGCAATCAATACTATATTTGTCAAACACCAGATTAAGAGCCAATCGCCAAATAAAGCAACTTTACCCAGCTGGTCGGTACTCATTTGGTTGTAACATGATAAAAAGGGGAAATAAATAAATAAAAGCCCGTATCACTGTCAATCAATCACATTTACTGATACCGGCACCTCCCGACCAGCTGGGAAGGTACCGCATGAATGTTTTACCGAGCAATTTTGGCGACGTTTGGACGATAAATGGTCGAGTTATTGCTGAAAATCGTAAGTTAAGCGCGAGTTTGAAAGAAATTAGGCGACCCCGGAAAATCTTTAGGCGACTGCATTGGGGTTTGGGAACCACTGCGGCGTAGTTGAAGACCAGCGTTCTGTTTGGCGTTCCGAAAATTAAGTACTAGACTTATGTGTAGCGTTTCTTGTTGAAATGTAGCTAACGTAGTGATATGAATGCATCTTTTTAAATGAGAAAACCAGTTCAATACAAAAGACACCCGTTCCCAATATTTTGAATCCCACCACTGGTTGCGGCGGATTTCCATATTTATCGCGGGGGAGAAGAAATTCGATAAGACGGCTAAGTTATATGGCGAACCACAGCGTCTCGTTCTGTTACCATTTCATGTCGGGTATGGTAATAGTTTGCCAGTTATTTCTCATAGCTAGACTTGATTGCGGAGGCAAGTCGCAACCGACCAGTGTGACGATGAAGAGTCCAGCACATATTTATCTCTCCGGAAATTGGGAACCATGAATCCGAGCAGGACAATCAGACGTGCGCGCGATGACTAGCGTATATCTAACACAGGATGCTTCTACAATAATGAATTGTAGTGAACGACTAATATAAAAATCCAATGTGCTGCCAATGCAGGGCCCATTATCCATAGCCCCAAAACAAATATGTTCACTCACCTACAATAAGTTAGAAAATATTCAATTCACACACTCGCATTTTCTTTCACATATACTAACCAGAAAATAAAATAAAAACGAGAATAATTAAGGTAGTATCACTATGTATATTACTTCACCGGTAAGCATCCTTGTACTTGGGCGCAACGTTTCCGAATTAGATAAAAATTATTTGTATAACAAGACAAGCTGATTTTTTTTGTTGAATGTGACAGGGAGATAAAAATCGAATACCCTCGGAAAAAACACGACTGATATAATATTATGAGGTGAAGTACACAGCCAGGCATCGGTTTGGCAAGATTTCGATAAAGATAAAACAATTTTATTTCTTTTGTACTGGTTTTCAAACGAGTCATATTTATGCCGAAGGTACTGATAGAATCAGGAAAAAAGTCTATAGCATAAGTTTATACCACAAAACCGTGAATAAATTATCATAACGAGGAAATTTTCTGTTTTCATTTATCGCATCCTGTCGATCGAAAAGAATTAAAACGCGATGCCCCAAGAACTACGAGAACAATTAAAAAACAAGTAAATTTAACGTTGTTTACAACGTAACACGTTATTTCGCGCGTCGAATAGCATAACAACAATAAGGGATCAGAACATATACGAATATGGACGTATATTTTATTTTTTTCAGTTAACATTGTAGAATTTTCAAAAATTGTGATGTCAAATATGGAAATATCAAAGAAGTATCACTCATTTAAACTGCATTTCAAGGCTACACGACCGCCAGTTAGGTGGTTAGCTTTGAAAAATGACGTAACATTTCGAGATATGTCGCAGATTCAAGACGTGTATATACCAGGTTCAAATTCTGGAAGGTCAAAAGGAGGTTGTGCTGCATATGAGGATATGTAAAAAAATAATGTCAAAACCAGAGTTGTCAATATCCGAATAATATGGTATTCTGAAATTCTAAATTATAATTCATTTGAATCGGGAAAATTTAAGTAAATTCAATTGAGTAGAACAGCAACATTTTTGGTGAATATCGGGTCCCACGGAAGTCCGGTGAAATTAGAAAATATATAAAAGTAAAAGCCTTCTAGCGGTTACGTTGACCATCCCGCAATCATTGCAAGCCCGTGTAGAAGATCCGATTAGGTCACCGACAAGTTCAGTTTATTTTAGTACAGTATGTAAAATGTTACGTCGATTAAGTCAGTACACGAAAATCCATTGCGTGATGATTCAAAGGTCCGATGCACTTGCATTGATAAGCCAGTGATTGATTAACACAAATAAGCGATATTTACCTAAATTGTAGTGTATTTATTTGCCTCGAAATAATTTTGCCACGAAATATATGACATATATCAAGATCGACAACAAACTTTAATCAAATATACTCCCACCCAACATTATTTGTGATCATCATAAATTTTTCAAATGGCAGTACGTATATATACTATATAATGGGTTCGCAGACTGAGCTACGGTAAGTTGAGTTTTGTCTTTTAAAAACAATCGTTCATACAAACAGTGTCACAATTCGTTGAATTTATGTAATATTTCTCGGCAGAGTTACCAATCCAACGTTACATTACCTGCGGCATTGCCACAAACTCAAATCTTATGTAAATGCCAAATTTGAAAAGCTTGTCTATATTGTAAATGATGATAAGAACCATCAAATCTTTCATCTCAGAAGAATATCTTTCAACTCAAATCGAAAATATTGGGTGCAAACGCCCTCAGGTGAAATTTATACATAGGTTGAGGTCTACAGTCGGGCGGTAATGTTAGATTTCTGTCCCGATAAAACACTGCAGAAGCCATTACCGGTACATATTTATCGTATTTTCGAAAGCAAATTGACGTAGTTCACCCAGATATCTTACCAATAATGTAAATAAATTTCCTATATCGCTTAAAACTACACGTACATCTATGAAAATCTAGACAGTGTGGTAGTCAGCGGCGTGGCCACCTCAAATAATATTCGAATGCGACTTATAGAATAGATGACGCAAAACGCCCCAATAACCATGAGTATTACTGCAAAAAAATGCCAATCATCCAATGAGTGAATGTTACAAGACTCCAGGTAATACCGGGCAAAATAAACGCAAACAGCAAATGTAAACGACGCCCACAACCTAGTTCGATGTTTGTCAACAACTTAGAGGGCAACTTATAAGGCAACTTAACTCTTTTGTTCCGTATAACATATATAGTCGTACTACCATCCTTGGTCATAATAGTTATTTTCGGACTATTTTACGTTTATGTTCATGTTTTGTGAAGTATTCCGCACTAACTAAATCATTTTGAGCATCCAACTATGATCCGTGCTTGATCTGTCAACATTTTGTTTTTTTGTAAATTTTTTATTTTACTACTAAGTGAATTTTATTTGTGTAGGTATTTCAAAGCTTAGAGATACACGAAAGTATTTGTCATTACTTCAAAAATAAGCCATTTGAACGAGCGGGAAACAATTTCGCGCACATAATAAACAAACAAAGATTCCAGACAACTCTCGTGGACATGCTCTCACATATCATTGATTATTTCGCGTTTCGCTTCGCTTGCGAAGCTGAGTCTGGTTTTTCTTCAAAGGTGACGTAACTCTCTTTCAGAAGAGCGCTTGGAATTTCGTTTCTTTGTAACACGTGTTCATCGAAGCGATAAGAGTGTGAAACGTTCTCTCAAAATTTTTTGAAATTTCTCTCTTCTTACACGCGTAGGGTCGAACGGTTTCGCATACGTCATTTGGGCGCGTTTTAGTAGGAAGACGCGAAAATAAGCTTTTTAAAGAGATATTGGGGGTGTTCCTTGTACGTTTGGTTAACTGGTCATTACATATTATAAAATGGTACATAAAGTCGATTGTATACAGCGGAAAAAAAGGGTTAATTAAGCATCTTAATTGATGAATGAAGACGCGATGTCTTGTTTGTGGGTGAAAAAGTTTCATGGGTGTAATCTATATGCGTGTGCTAAAATCAATGGGTGGAAATATATTGGTGCAAAAGTATACAGGTGCAAATGCGTCAACAAAAATTTATTTTCTTAAAATTTATACGGAATAGTGAAATATTTCGTTTGGGCCATCCCTGGGTGTTATATTGGCGAATATTATTCCGGAAATCTACTAAGTATAGTAGACACGGGGTGTTGCAACTTACGTTTTTACTTAATATCAATTTACCTTGGTATCGGCACAATTTTGAAGTCCTAGTTGTTTGATGACATGCGATACTTTATCAGCTCGTTGTTTAGCGTTAAATTTATCTCCGGACAATCGAAGGTTGGCTGAAAACGCCAAATTTTCACGAACACTGAGGGTTCCCATGACGACGTCATCCTGGCAATGGAAAAGATATTGGTTTTCAACGGAAATTCACTTGTATATAACTAAGTTCTAGTCGCCCAGATAAACAGTATGTTTTTGTGTGTTTAATCAAAAGCGTAAGAAAGGTCATACTCAATGTAAAAACATTGAAATACTTTTTACTACAAAAGCGCAAGTACAAATTATATAATTTCGTTCAGAATTGGATATTGATCCACTTGGACAACGTATTGCAATACACGATATAAATGATACGAAAGTTCACAAACTTGTCTTACTTCCTGTCTGTGCATGACGTACATATATAGATATATATCGCCGGATGAGAACAGAAGGGGCCTAAAGTCACATTTTTGCAAAATTCACTTTTTTCAATATTTTTGGGTTTTGAGCCATGCTCTACAAGGTGGTGGTCTTGAAATCCTGAATTTCTCAATAATAAAAATTTTAGCTGGACTTAGGACTGTAGAAGTTAAGAACATGAATGGGCCTAAGTCCAGCTAAAAATTTTAATATTATGAAATTCAGAATTTCAAGACCACCACCTTGTAGAGCATGGCTCAAAATCCCAAAATACTGAAAAAAGATAGTCCCAAGTTCCAATATGATGGGCATGAGCATCAGAAATGAAATGTCCGAAACTTACATCCCTAAAAATTTCTTCAGTGCAACTTAGGCCTAAGTCACCTTGTTTTACCTTGCATCCCATACAAAAAAATTCAGAAGTTGTTGAGAACAGAATGGACCAAAGTCCATTATGGGGTTAAAAAAGCAGGAAGGAATTGGAGCTGAAGTGCCAAAAAATATTGATTACAAAGATATTCACATCCACATTAAAATATACAGAGCTCTTTACTAAGTGTGAATATCTAGAAATTCAAAAATAAAAAAGTTCCAAATTGTTTTTTGCGTTTTTCTCAAAACTGAAAAATTGTGACTTAGGCCTGTTCTGTTCTCATCCGGCGATATATATAGATATATATACAAAGGTCAGATGAGGTCAAATGATCATTTTGGAGTTCACTAATAATATTGGCAACATTAAAAGCCTATAAACAAATGCTTTTCGTTCCTTGGGCGTCAAATAATTATCAACTGCCCATTGTGAAACACAATTGAGTGATAATACAAACAGTCACAGTTGATATAACCGAAGCGACAAAGGGCAATATTTGTCAGCTTACCTGTACGACATAGCCGCTCATAAGACGGAAATTAACAGGCGGCAAATCTCCGTCTAACAATACGATGCCTTCCCTCAAACCGCGTGGGTCTTTTCTTTTCGCGAGTATATCCAAAAGCCTGTGGTAGAAAGTTACGTAACAGATAAAATTTTTGTTGTGTAACTTCTAATAGTTAACGCAGCTTGACAACGTGATATATGAACTGGAACGAGTCAATCTCTAACAATAGATCAACAGATCCATAGATTTTTTGAATTTACCCTTCAGTTAAACTAATTCATTCGTGACCAGCGATAGGGAACGCCGACATAAATCGGACGAGGGTCTGTTTCCTGTTAGAGGTCGCTACATGATTAAGAGTCTGTGACTATCCATTAAAAAAATAATCTAATAAGAAGGCAAAATGCCCTAGTAGACGCTAAAGTGAACCTTTTGCGAGAGTGCGGTTGTCATGGTATACGCCAACGTTAGTTAGTTCACAGTCACATTGATATGAGGAACAGACGTGAAAAATAAATTATTCATCGGTATGATCAGTTTTTACTTGAGTCTCTCGGGTCAAAACTTGGCCTGGGGGCGCAGACTGGTCCAGTTATTATACTGTATTAAATCGATACCAAAATTTATCACAATACTTTAAAACTTGCAATCAGACCAGTAAAATGGGTGATTAACGTGCTGCACTTTTATAGAACTTGACACAGTCACTCACTACCGAGAGACGTGACTAACAGAAACAATTACAACATAACGGAATTATGCCAAAGCTCATCATTTGGTCCAGAAATAAGTACTGTCCAGTTATGGCTATGCATAGATAGCCCCTAATGCCCCTGAAACATGAACGCGCCTTTATTTATCTTTCACTAATAAAACAGGATTGAATGCACTGACATTCAATGCGTAGGTGAGAGTTCATACACACTTTTATTGCCATCTGTAAATATTTATATTTGGTTACTCACGAGGTTTTACCGCTTCCTGTAGGCCCCATAATAGCGTTCAATCCGGGCTTTAACAGGCCACTGAAACAATAAAAATATTTTTATTACATATAAGGTATTAGGACTAGGTTATATTTGCATATCAGCAATATGTCAATGTGGAAATTTTCACAGCGGAACTGAAATATTCGCGAGCAACATCAAGCGAGGCAAATGCAATGCGGTTTCAACCTACCTTACGCCCTTTAAAATTTCCTTGTCGCCCATCTTTCCACAAAGAGGTACATCGTCCAACTTTTCTTGTACTTCGTATCTAATTCCATGAAAACTGATTATGGATTGCCGTGCGCCTTTAGTCAAACTGTTTGGCTCAGTCACCTCATCGATGCAAGTGGTTTTATTGTTTACCATGGCGCGTGAGCTGCTTATTGAAGTATTATCAGAATAACAGTCGTCTTTCGCTTCGTACGAACTCTGATTGCGATTACCGTCACAAGCCGACCCACTGCTCGATTGCCAATCACTGTTCCGGATGTTTCCTATTTCCCCAGTTTGCCAATCTTGTTGCAGCGCAGGGTTGTCGACTCCGATTACCCGAGCATGAATGCCTTGCGTGATAACAGGACCGTCTGAAGCGGGATTCATTTTTTCGTTTGTTTTGGCGACGAGAGTACTGCTCTAGGTTACCAGCTAGCGACTACCAGCTATTGATATTAAACTATACCTGTAAAAGTGGTATTTCCGTATTCTGTAACTAAATGTTCGCAAGAACAGCGTTTAACGTGTGTCGTTGTGCAATGATAAATACTAATTAGTAGGGCTACGAATGGTTAGTTGGCTAATAGATTGACAATGTTAGATGGTTAACAGTTGTAATGGAGTTTGACTGTTAACCCAAATTCAATATTTAGTAAAATACAGTCCCCAGATTAATTCGCAATAAGGCTGATTTCCGTGATTTTTGATGCAAATATATACGACCTGCTTGTTAACCAAGATACAGTTGGTGGTGAAATGCGGCAACGAATAGTCAAAATTCAATTCTCGATGTCCGCGATTTAAGAATAATGCACAATTTAGGAAGGGGTATTTCGTGTCAATTTAGTCAGAAAAGTATAAGCATTTCAAATATTTTCGGTGCCGAAAGTACAATTAAAAATTACCTCAAAATAGTTACACTTATTTACAAATAAGAATGACCAGAATACTCTAAAATGTCGAAAGCATTCTGCACGCCTTGAGAGTGGCCGCGCAGAGAAACAAAGCAAAAGATGATAGTGACGTAATAAGCTCAGTCTCACTTTATGACATCATACGTGAACATATATTTGATTAAGAATCTCTCATAAGCATCTCATTAATTAACAAAGCAACGTGCTTTCTTTGACTAGTTGACTAAATCTCAAGTCAATTCATTTACGTTTTCAAGAAATATATATATATATCGTTTTGCTACATCATGCTTGAAAACCATATTAACCACGAGTCTCATTTTTTTCGACCAATGCATCAATTCTCAGATAAGATCTTAAGTTTATTAAGCGTTCTTAGATTGTATATTTTCCCCGACTCTACGGCCCTGGGAAGAAGTTCAGGGAAAAGGTACTAATTAAATGTTACGAGATAAATAGTATTTTCATAGTTGCCGTAATAGGTAATAAACAACTATGTGAAAAATAACGTTTTGGTAATTCTTGCGAGTCTACCGAGATTCATTTTGCTTCGGAAATGTTTTTTTTTCTAAAATTGGCGTCTTAAAATCGTCTGAAAGACTTGGAAAATGGTGATTGAATTGTATTGAATCCAAGCAAATTTGGATGAAAGTGGTCGGAAAAAGAATCCAGCAGCAAATTTCTCACTGAATTCGTTTAAATTTGGAATGACAAAAAAATTTGAATAACAGTTTTCAGAAATTTATGCGTTTTAAAACTCATCATTTCTGCAAGGACTCTTAGTAATGCCATAGAATCAATAAAAAAAACACTATTTTGTGCCTGCAACTAATAGTAAGCCTATGTTAAATAAAGGTGCGGCCCGCAGTTTTACCCAGGTATTGATATCTGGCCCGCCTGTGATAAAGGTTGCACACCCCTGTTTTATGTCATTGTAAAATTCAAGCGTCTCTGCCAAGAATAGGGTCTGAGACTAACTTTGAAGCCTGCAAATTACGTTTTTATTACCTTCAAGGACTTTTTTAATACGACCGCGAATGCTGCAACAATTTTTTTTTTTCTTCTGTCCGTACATTAATTCCAACACGTAAATTCAATTATTCTGTTTATACAGACTATACTCACGTCACTCGCTAATCATCCAATGTTTTAAATGCATGTCCTACAACAAATACCATTTGCATATTGAGTTTCAAAGGTCCGGCCCAGTAACCAAGTCTATATCTGTAAGTGGCCCATTTAGGGAAGTAATTGCCCGCCCGTGGATTAATTAGTACTACCCACAAACTTGTGTATCGTAAAAAAGTTGAACTATATTATACACCAAAGTCTAGCTAAAGGGAGATTCATCGCCTTAAGCGCGATAATAAATACAAAAAGCTGGCAACATTTTCATATTTCTCTTAAGGTGTACTCATGCTACGATTCATGAACAACTACTTTCCTCATATTTATTTCCCGAAATCTATAAAACTTACATGGTGTATGACAACTGCGCAAACAGTTGTTACCGGAACACAATCTAGCTATTAAAAACGGACTAGTTCCCACCGACTAAAGGGCATGACTAACACTGTGTCGCTTACCTTAGAATAAATACATGTACTTCCGTTGCATTACAGAACATATGTACATCATGCCTGCTTTGGGCAAAATTACGTAAAAGCAAAATTTATATCACATTGCCATTTTCAAGACGTTCCCGTCTATAAATTTTCACTTGGACAACATAATTTGCCATTCGCATCCAAAATACGCGTTGCACCCGAGGTTAAAGCTATATACCAGCTTCAACCAACAAAATTATCTTATAACTTGACTGACTTTGTCTTCATACCTTGATGATTTTCCCTTTTTCATCTGACTCAGTGCTCGTGTGCGCTGATTCGCGGTAATGCAGATTAAAGACAAAATGTATCCCGTGAATATATCCGCTAATTTTCGAACGTATTGTTATTTAAATCGGCTGTTTTGACGCGACGTGTGATCAACTAGCACATATTCGGACAATGAGCTGAATACGCCTCATTCGACCTGAATGTCCGAAAAGGAATATTTAAAAACTATCATACGTCTGCGGCTGTTTTTTGAAAAGAATTTTTAAGGAATTCGCAATATGCTGACCAGTTTTTTCCATACCCGACTGGGCAAGTGGCAATAATTTGCTATATGATTTGGCTGTTATATTTGCTTCCCCTGAGTTATGACCAAGTATGAAATCCTGCCAAGACATATCTGACACTATGACAAATTTGTGATAAAGGTTGCACACCCCTGTTTTATGTCATTGTAAAATTCAAGCGTCTCTGCCAAGAATAGGGTCTGAGACTAACTTTGAAGCCTGCAAATTACGTTTTTATTACCTTCAAGGACTTTTTTAATACGACCGCGAATGCTGCAACAAATTTTTTTTTCTTCTGTCCGTACATTAATTCCAACACGTAAATTCAATTATTCTGTTTATACAGACTATACTCACGTCACTCGCTAATTATCCAATGTTTTAAATGCATGTCCTACAACAAATACCATTTGCATATTGAGTTTCAAAGGTCCTGCCCAGTAACCAAGTCTATATCTGTAAGTGGCCCATTTAGGGAAGTAATTGCCCGCCCGTGGATTAATTAGTACTACCCACAAACTTGTGTATCGTAAAAAAGTTGAACTATATTATACACCAAAGTCTAGCTAAAGGGAGATTCATCGCCTTAAGCGCGATAATAAATACAAAAAGCTGGCAACATTTCCATATTTCTCTCAAGGTGTACTCATGCTACGATTCATGAACAACTACTTTCCTCATATTTATTTCCCGAAATCTATAAAACTTACATGGTGTCATAAACTGCGCAAACAGTTGTTACCGAAACACAATCTAGCTATTAAAAACGGACAGTTCCCACCGACTAAAGGGCATGACTAACACTGTGTCGCTTACCTTAGAATAAACACATGTACTTCCGTTGCATTACAGAACATATGTACATTATGCCTGCTTTGGGCAAAATTACGTAAAAGCAAAATTTATATCACATTGCCATTTTCAAGACGTTCCCGTCTATAAATTTTCACTTGGACAACATAATTTGCCATTCGCATCCAAAATACGCGTTGCACCCGAGGTTAAAGCTATATACCAGCTTCAACCAACAAAATTATCTTATAACTTGACTGACTTTGTCTTCACACCTTGATGATTTTCCCTTTTTCATCTGACTCGGTGCTCGTGTGCGCTGATTCGCGGTAATGCAGATTAAAGACAAAATGTATCCCGTGAATATATCCGCTAATTTTCGAACGTATTGTTATTTAAATCGGCTGTTTTGACGCGACGTGTGATCAACTAGCACATATTCGGACAATGAGCTAAATACGCCTCATTCGACCTGAATGTCCGAAAAGGAATATTTAAAAACTATCATACGTCTGCGGCTGTTTTTTGAAAGGAATTTTTAAGGAATTCGCAATATGCTGACCAGTTTTTTCCATACCCGATCGCGACCATAACTGGGCAAGTGGCAATAATTTGCTATATGATTTGGCTGTTATATTTGCTTCCCCTGAGTTATGACCAAGTATGAAATCCTGCCAAGACATATCTGACACTATGACAAATCTGACAACAAAGCTAATTGACTAGGTCATAACTAGATGTTACATAACATTTCCCATCATTCATTGATTTGACCCATTGATTACCACGGTAAATAGTCAGAAAAGTATCTGTGTATCCGTTCTTATGTTCAAGTCTTTTCTGAGCATTATCAGATCAATGCGGTACTGCCGTTTATAATTAACTTAAGAACATGAAGCGCCTGTTGTATTTTATCTGTTGTTTGTGCAATTTCGTTTTGCTTTACAATTCACAGTACTACAGGCATCAATAATCGCTGAATGCTTTATATTCGTCTGTCTAACTCTGAAATATGAAATATTGAAACCAATATACCCATAACTCAACACTTTTTATCGATCAGCTGTATAAGAACATTATCTGATTTGGTCAAATGACCAGGTAAATGAATACAGAGGTCAAAACAAACTCCGCAACGCCCATAAATTACATTGAACATCAACAATTACCACGTGTTCGCGGTGACCGTACATTTGAACCCATGTGTATATCCGCGATTTCAATCTATATGCGGATGCTACAACCAGCACCGGATTAACCATTCGAAAATAGAAGCACGTGCTTAGAGCACCAAGCAGAAAGGGGCACCACAGAAATTTTAGAGCAGAATTTTTTATAGTTTATTGGTGTTTATTAAAATATTGCGAGTTCACCAGACGACTCAAACTCCAAAATGTTCGCCTATTTTTCGTCTTCATGTATCATATTAACCTTATTTATCAAAAATAAACACTGAAACTTATTTATTGGACACGAAATCGTTTTCTTAAATTGTTGTTGTTTTTTCTTTCTAGTATTCTCCTTGTTGCTGCATTTTTGTTTTAAAAAAAATTCTTTCCTTTTCAACAATTGGACCAATGAACTATTTACACTATGTGGCGGTTCCACGATCGCATTTCAACGATCTATTGGTCAGCAAAGTCGGGAGTTTTTTGATAAGGTAGACCAGGGTGGTCCAAACCCTGTGGCCTGTCATGCTGATACATTCCG